TGAAATTCACCCTTATGTGGAGGACCAGGACAAAATTCACACTCAAGGTCCAATTCAGATCTCAAAGTAGAGATTAAGTGGGGTTTAGAGAAGCATAAGTATTTCCTTTGTTGATCCTCTGCATGGAGATGAATTTCATCCCATATAAACATATGCTGTATGGTTACTGTCTCAGTGCAGACTATTTTATTGTAACAAGAGAAGCTGTAAAAGGAGCACAGGTATATAAAATGTGCATAGTAAGATTAATTATATGATGATACTGATCAATAAATCATTTAATGAGAAGGTCACTCCAAAAATTCTGGTGCTTCCCTAAAAGATATGTCACCTCTGACTCCTGCAATATCTTTTCTTAAAGCTCTGGCTCTTGGAGTCCTATAATCATGTAATTATCTCAGCTTTCATTAAAATAATGCACTAAAATTTATCTTTAACAAGAAAAACAGGAATAGAAAATACCGTGTACAATATGCGAAACATGGCCAAGTTAATGTTTCACTAGAAATTTAAACTTCTGGAATTATGACTGCTTTATCTTGCTCTTAATATCATATATTTTTAATTTGTCCCAGTTTTTGAAAACACAAGGAAGAGGACCTCTCTCTATATTGGTAACAGGCATATTCAAATGGAGGTTCTACTATGCTTTGGAGGCTTTAATTGATATGTTTTTATATCAATATCCTTCATTTACTAGTGTCCTAGCAAGACACTGGGACAGGAATGCTGTGGAGTTTGAGGCATCTTGGGAGCTTGCTGTAACTAGTAGCCAACTGTCGATCCTCTGGATCATGGTGGATATGTAAGAGGTCTAGTCAGATGCCTGATAAATCCATTTGTGGCTGACAAGCTCAATTCGAGAGTGACACAGCTTGTTACGCACTTCACAGATCCATACATTGTCTAAGTTGGAGTCCAAGTATACCAAGATACATTCTTCTGTTTTGCTTTGCTTCCATCCTCTGGATCAAAGCTGCTTCACGTTGAGCTGCATCCAGTGCCAGATGTTCCCTCCAGATCAGACGGGATTCTGCACACCCCTCCCAGCTTTCTACATGGATATTGAATGACTTCATATAATTTTTGCACACATTGTAGTACCACCATAGAGAATGACCTTGCTTTCTAGAGCTGTTTTGAATATCCCTGTACAAAATATTCTTGGAATTACAGTTTCTCCCATTCTCCTGACATGGCTGATCCATCACTACCTTATCTTCTTGATACTGGTTTCTAAGTGTGCAGTCCTGTGCACTCTACTACATCTGTATTTGGTATTCTGTCTCCCTACTTATTTTCAGGATCTTATGCAGATATCTCATGTGGAAGCTGTCCAGTCTCTTGATATGCCTATCAAATGTAGTCCACGTTTCTGAACCATAAAGCAGGGATGGCAACACACAAGTCTCACAGATTCATATCTTCACCTTAGCTGATAGTTTGCTGTTATTCCATGCATGTTTCTGTAATAGCCCAAAATTCTCAGCTGCTTTTCCAATTCTGTTAGTCAGCTCAGCCTGAAGGTCAACATTCCCACTGATTGTAGAACCCAAGTAGCAAAAACTGTAAACCAAGAGTGATGTCAGGTATTCTTTCACCCCTTGGTACATGATCAGCCGTCTTGAGACTAATTGCTATCCTGAAGCAGTGAGTGGCGAATTAAGATTTACTGGGGCCTTGGGCAAACAGAAAATTGGAGGCCCCCCACACCCCATTATAAACATGAACATATGGACTCCAGTGGGGGGAGGGGCCACTTTTCCTCCTGGTGCTGCTGCTGCCAAGGGTGAGGCAGGTTTCCATGCCCCATGGTGGAAACTAGGTGGACCCAGCTGGGCTGGGGATGGGGTGGCACATGCCCGCCTCTCCTCCCTGTCCCCTGCCCCCTCTCCCCCACCGCCACAGCTGGAGAGGGGCAGATCCAAGCAGGGTGAGAGCAGATGCAGGCTGCCCACTGTGGACTCAGTGCTTTCCATTCTGCTGCCATTTCCCAGGGCCCTGCGCTGGCCATGTGCCCCCTGCCCGCCCGGCAGTGGGAAGCACAACTTGCCGACTCTACTGCTGCCAGGTGAGCAGGGGGCATGTGGCTGGTGTGGGGAGCTGAGGGAAAGCAAGTAGTGGGGAGAGCCCCTAGCCCACAGTGGGCAGCCTGCATCTGCCCTATGCTGTCTCAGCCTTGGACCCTATGCACCACCCTGACTGTGCAGTGCCCCCAGCCCCTGCCCCTGCCTCACCATCGGGGCCTCAGTCTTCCCACATACCCCCCCCCTCCACGCCCCTTCCTCACTTATCTGAAGGGAGCTGCTCTCCATGCTGCCCAGTTGTTTTCCTGGCCATATGTATGCATGCAGCCACATACATGCACATGGCGCCTCCTGCGCCTCGTTCCTAGCGGCCCCAAGCAGGACCCCTTGCAGGCTAAAATGCTGCCCATCTGCAAGGGGAAACCCCCTGTTTCCTGAGGAAACCCAGGTACCCAGGGGGCCCCTGACTGGCAGGGGCCCCTGGGCCCAAGCCTGCAGGCCTGTGCATTAATCCACCTATATCCTGAAAATGATTCAGAAAATCTGCCATCATTGCTTTGTTGGTCTCTGCTCTCAAGAGGTATGATTTCCCAACCTGGCTGAATTGGGAAAAGTTCTTTGTGTTGGCAAAGCTGCCCTTACCTTGCTTCACTTGAAATGCAAAGGCTAGAAAAAATTATACCTGCAGAAATGTAGCTGTGCCAGTATCAGCTTTGTCCACATTAGAAGCTATTTGTTGGTATACTATGCAGAGACAGCTATATCAACAAGGTATCCCGGTATAACAACAGCAGTATACAAGGACCCAGACTTATCAAAGCTAGCCCCTAAATCAGTGAAGGACTTGGAGGTTACAAACATGATTTAAAGCTATTCAGTCCCCCTTGAATGTGAATTTTGGTGGTGTTCTGAATTCCAGAAACAAGGCTTGCTGTGCTGCAGTACTCCACACGTTGTCTTTCTTCAGTCATGTTCCCAGTTTGTCCCCCTGTGCTTAGCATGACAGAGGAGTCTAAAGGGGGCTATGGTACCCAATTATTTCTCTTGAACTAATAGACTGTCCTGCTAGCTAGCTAGCTCTACTGGTTTTAGTTGCTCCTTCAAAACAGCACAAAGCAGACCAAAGGGATGGCCCATGTTGTTTTGTCTCCTTTTTTTCCTCATGTCCAGCTGCCACCCTGGATATTCGGGTTTCTTGAAAGACCAACTAACCAGCATAATCAATACATAACTGGCTTATGACACCATAGTTCATTGACAACCTCCCATGAGGTTGCCATATAGTTACACATTGTTACATGTTGCCATATAGTGACCTATTTTCCTCTACCTCTTACCCAAACTATAAAGGGAGCAGGCTCCCCAGAAAATGAGTCTAACTTGAACTCCCCTCATTTTTGTACACCTGGTTGAGGGCTGCCCTGAGCTTTGCTGTGCTAGTGCAGAAGGAGTAAACTCACCAAAAGTCTCCATTATACAGTCCCAGATACCCCACCCTACATTCCTCCAGGTCTGAAAGGGCTGAAGACTACAAGCAGCACTATAGCACATCCTCAGGACCAGGAAGAGAAGAGGCAAAACTACACAGCAACAACTATGGCCAACGTCCTCCCATGCCCTCTTCCTCACTAGTATTAAAAAGGGTAAAGATCCTTTGATGATTGGACTTTCCTTCAGGCCTGAGAGCAGGA